CCGGTTTGAAAATTTGAAGTTTTAGTTTCAAGTTTTAAAATTGACTCACCCCTTGAGGGTAGAAACTTCTGTAGCATATCAGAGACTGTTAACCTGTGAGAGGAATAAGCCAATTGTGAGGTTTCCACATGTGACCTCCCCCACCTCAGGTCATAGTACACAGTCGGCCACACCATTTTCCACTTCAGAATTTACCATCTGACCTTATTTTTATTCCTTTCTGTGGCATTTTGACATAGTTCAACTCACACTGTTTTTATCAGCAAACTCTTTTCATTTACTAATACATTGTAAGCGTTTCCTGACATTATTAAATTATTCTAAATATAAATTTTTGGTATAGTATTTCATTATCACATGTATTTAATCACTTTCCCATTGGACATTTTTTTTGTTATAATAAATGATGCTCTGATGAACATCTTTGTTCACATGTCCAATTATTATCTTAGAATAAATTCCTAAAGTAGAATTTCTGAGCTAAAGAACACGGCAACTTTATATATTTTACTAAACTTCTCTCCAAAAGTGTTAAATCAATTTTATATTCCCATAGTGAAGTACAATACAGAATTTCAGTTGGATGCTCTGAATGTAATCCAGAAAAGGAAAAAAAAAATTATTAGAAAATCATCTTTTGTCAGCAACAGCTATTTAAAGTAGAAAAATGCATATGTGATGAAATTGAGAGAGGAAAATTTTTTCTTCTGAAAATCAGAGTGAGAAAAATATAACAGCAAAGAAATATAACTGAAAGATAGTTTATGAGGTATGGTTATTAATCAGTTGAATTTTTTTCAACTATAGCATGCCCTGAAAAAAATTCTGAAAAAAGTTTGATCTCTTAGTGCTCATATCAGGCACATTTCTGTCTCAGATGTACAAGTCGAGAGTTTTCAAAGTGCTAAGAGATTGAATGTGATGTTTGGTTCCTGCATTTAAAACATACCTGGTTAGAGATAGGAGCACTAACAGCTGTTGTTTGGGAGGCTTTTTTTTTTTAAGTCCATGCTAAGGTGGTTAAAATCATAGTTTGGCTACTTACTAATTTTATGAATTTACCAGGTCAATCATTCTACCTAAGCCTTATCTGTAAAGTGAAGAAAATGGTAGCATTGTTGTGGGGGTGAAGGCGAAGCATGTGAGGAACTTACCACCTTGTTGGGACTGTGCTGTCCAATATGGCAGCCCCACATGGGGCTGAAGTCCTGGAACTTGGCTGGTCAGAACTGAGATGTACTACACATGTGCAACCCACACACTCTCAAAGACAGTCTCATAAAGGAATGTAAGCTGCTTTATAAATCATTTTTACACAGTTACATGTTGAAATGAAACTATTTTGGATATGGTGGCTTCAAATAAACACATTGTTAAATTTAAAGTTCATTGTACTATGTTTGTTTTTCAAACAGTTTTTCCTTTTTTCAAAATGTGGCTTGCATTATATTTTTACTGGGCTGCTCTGCAGTAGAACGTATTGAAGACTCAATAAATAATTTTTAGAAGAAATCAAAGTGGGTTGTTTCTCCATTGTGGAGTTACACAGTTGTCATCTTACCATCTGGGGACATTTGATTTTTAGGATGCCATAAGACATTTGGTGGAATCTTCTGGTCTGGATGAGGAGTATGCATAAAATTTCATTGTTTGTTAGTGAAGTGAATAGAGAGTTTAAAAATAGTATTCTCCTCCCTCCTCCCTGCCCCATGCCTGTCCCTCATGAGTTATTTCTGTTGGCTGCATTAGGAACCTGACATTTGATTCATTCTCAGCGTGCCCTGCCTCAGTCCTTTAAAACAGAATGGACAGTTAGCAAAAGGTCAAAGCTGCTATGGCTGGTGGTGGCTGTCCTGGGCCGTGATAGGCAGAGGAGACCTGGGGAGATCGGAATATCCAATATGGCAAAATGCTTGGTCAAGATCCAGACTCGACGAAGCCTCCACTTGCACATGGTGAACCACTGCAGCAGTAATGTGTTTGTCCGACTGCTGAGACATGGCTCCAAGGTCACAGCTCGAAATGCCGGTACGTGCCATGCCCTGGGCTGTCATCCTGTGCCTGAAGAATCATACAAGCTTTCAGCTTCCTGCTCACTATAGCGACTCAGTGAGAAGCCAAGGGTGAATGTAGTGTCAGAAGTTTAATGAGTTATGGAAGAGAGAGAGGGAGGGAGAAAGGCAGAGACAAGCAGGGAGGAGGGTGAATGAGCAAGTGCAGAAGGTAAATGGGAGGGTGTGTTCCCTTTTCCATGAAATGGCATAAAGTTGTCAAAAGGCAAATTATGCTTTCTATTCAGCAGTGAGTTAGGAGGGAGGCAGTGGTGGTGTGCTCCTCTAGATTGTTCAATAATGAGAGATGTCGAGGAGAAGGCAGACTGGATGATCAAAACACACTCCCCCTCCTCTCACTGTTTAAAGGTTTCAGATCTCAGATCTGCTTGTGCGGGTGAGGCAGAGCTCCCCTTTATCTTCAAAGCAGAGCTCTACTAAAATAAAATATCAGTTAGAGCACTTGGATCAAACTGACATTCTTCCAGTTTCCTTTTCCTTGTAAATATCTTATGTTATGGTCCTTGGAAGAAACTGTAATTGAAATAAAAATTTCAAGTCAGGCCCTACAGCAGTAAAGAAGCTGTGCTTATATAAGTATATGTGGTATCAATCAGGAGTTGATAAAAAAAAATCTATCTATCTATCTATCTATCTATCTCCTGGGAAATGTCTGAAATTGGCCATATTTCATACATATGTGTGGGACTGACTTCTAAGTGAATTGAAATGAAACCAATAGTACTTGTACAAGGACAAAAGTAATGCATGATGGGTTCTTATATGAAATTTTGAAAAACACAAATATATAGAATGTTTTCCTTTATTCTAATATTCTCAAAAGTGAGTCTATGAATATTTGCAGATAAGATATGGGATATGGTATATATATTTTTCGTGATATTGTTATAGGTATATTATTTTATAATCCATTTTTCCTTAATTATATGCTTGAAGGACTTTTCATATCAAAACAATTAATATAATTATCTTTTCAAAAATGGCCAATAATGTTATGTAATGTAGAGATACTACAATCCACTTATTTAATTACTAATTTATGTGGGAAATTTATTTTTTTTATTATTTGTCTATTACAATGCTACAATAAATGTAGAAATTGGCATTTCTATGATCAATTCTTAAAAAATATAAATTGGGGTAAAGAACATACAAATTTTTACTTTTGATGCAAGTGATCAAATTATCCTATAAGACAAATGCTTAAGAACAAGGTATGCATGAGAATCTCTACTCACCCATGTGATTACTAATCCTCATGTGACCAGTTTCTTAACATTTTGCTAAATGTTGAAAGAAAAATAAGATTCCATTATTTTCATTTGTACAAACCTTTTTAATAGGATGAACATCTGCTCAAATGATAATTGACCATTTGCATTTTTTCTTTGGAGAATTCATGTTTGCAGATTTCTACTGTGGTTTTGTCTTTTCCTTATAGATTGTAGGAAATCTTTTATAATCTGAACTTTAATCCTTTGCCTGATAAAAATGTCAACTTTCTTCTAATTAATTGGTTCTTGATTTTCAACTTTTTAAAGAAAGTGTTAACTTTTTGAATCAGGCATTTTTTGTATGTACAGACAACTTCTACATGTACAAACTACTTAGTTTTTGTATATTTCAAGTTTAGATTTTATGTCAGTTTTCCTCGTGCAAAAATTATGCTTTCTTTTTCATAATTAATGCATTCACTTGAACTGTACAAATGCTGATAACCATCTACTTTTGTTCTATAAAAATGGCAATTTCCTGTGGTATCTAATATTTATTTTGGTTTAATTTTTTTGACATCTTTGGACTTTTCTTGTGTATATGACATGATATAAGGATAAAAATTTTTCTCCAATTATTTAGCAATTTTTCCCCAAATTATTTATTTTAAACAAATTTTCGTTATGCTTAAGGGAATGTTTCTGAATCGCACATTTTAATATTCCTTTTTTGTTATTATGTTTATAGTATAATCTTGACATTAGATAGGTAAAATTACTCCCACATTTTTTTTAAAAGAATTTCTATTTTAGAGTGGCTTTTAAGTTTCTAGTTAAAGTAGGAGGAAAATACAAAGATTTCCCATGTGCCTCCTACGCCCACATAGCGTCCCCTATCAGAGTGGCACATTTGTTAACAGTTGATGAACCTGCATTGACACACTGTGATTACCCAGCGTCCACAGCTTACATTAAGTTTTCACTTTTTGCATCAGATGTCCTGTGGGTCAGACAAATGTATAATGACATGTATTCATCATCATAGTATTATACAGAATAATCTCACTGACCTAAAAATCCTCTACTATTCCTGTCCATATCTCCTTTCCCCTAATCCCTGACACTGATCTTTTTTACTGTCTCTGTAGTTTTGCCTTTTCCAGAATGGCGTATAGTTAGAATCATACAGTATGTTGCCTTTTCAGATGTGCTTCTTTCATTTAGTGATAAGCATTTAAGATTCCTCCATGTCTTTTCATGACAATACTTTTTAGCACTGAAAAATATTCCATTGTCTGGAGGCACTCACTGCTTTTTTTACCCAAAATTATTTTGTCATTTGTGAGCACTTTCTCCATTTATCTTTTTGAAAATGAGTTGGTATTTGTAATTCAGTAGCATTGAAACTTAGATTAATGAGAGAATAAAATTTTCAAAACATTGAGGCCTTCTATTCAGGAATATTGTTATGCTTCTTCATTTATTGAGATTTTCTTTTATGTCATCTTGTTATGTTTTAACATTATCTTTGTGGAAATTTTGCATATTTCTTATTATGGATATTCCTGAGTATTATATGACTATCTTACTTTGTACACTTAGCTGTTCTGAATGAAGTTTCTCATTATCATATTTTTATATTGTCTTTACTGCTTTTATATGTGGATCTTGCTTTTGAACAGTTTACTGAATTTCCATTAATTATTTCCCCCGGTTTATTTATTTATTTTTTAAATATTTTTTTAGTTGTCAATAGATCTTTATTTATTTATATGTGGTGCTGAGTATGGAACTCTGTGCTTCACAAATGAAAGGCAAGCGCTCTACCACTGAGTCACAACCCCAGTCCTCCCTCAGTTTATTTTAATCTTTATTTCATATAGATAATCCTATCATCTAAAAATAGAGCTTAATATCTTTTCTAATATTTATACTTCTTATTTTTGTCTTTATCATATTGTATTATCTAGGGCCCCTAGAATTATATTGCTGTGTAGTGAGAGATTTTTGTCATGCTCCTGATTTTGGTGGAAATTCTTTTAATGTTTGGCTATTACATGTGTTTGCCATCATACATAAACTTCATTGCATTGAATTTTAGATTAATGAAAGGAGAACTCAATTTTAAAAATATTGAGGCCAATTATAGAATCTGTAATTCTAGTCCTTACTTTTTAGGAGATAAAAATTTAATGAAAAATCCACAATAAAACTGTAGCACGGTGCGATGATTGATTGTGATGATAAACAGATCCACAAGATGGGATGACAGCTGCCCCAGTTTAATGCCATCCAGCAGTCAGAAATGGGGAATTCTAATTAACACTTGTTTTGATAATAAGGTGATTTGTTACCCAAAATAACAAGTCCAGAGGCAGATAGGATTCCAGGGTTGAGAACCAATTTCATTTCATCTCCCTCCACTTCTCTTCCCTGTTGGCCAGGATTTCCCTCAGAGCTGTGGCCATTGGCATTATAGGTTGGCTGCCAGAGTTTCTGCTGGTCTCCTTTAGTTACAGCAATGACAAGAGATAAATAGAGTCAAACCTTTCCAGAATGTTCTTCTTAGAAGCAAAAAAAAAAAAGTTTCTCAGAAGTTCAGTCCCCCCCTCATGCCTTATTTTCTCTCTGTCCTTCAATTTTTATTTTCAGAGTCAGCTTCTATGCCCATTTCTAAACCAAAGGTGACCAAGAGTCTAAATTACTATGATGGGTTAGACTAATTATTGTGGGAAAATGTACAATGAGGAGTCAACCATGGTATTCTGGGATAAAAAGCATCTATATCAGACTGGGAGTGGGAAGTAGGAGAGCTTTCCTAGAGGAGGTGACCCCTGGGGTCTTAAAGAATAAGATCCATTTGAGTGCAGAACATTTTCAGAAGAGGCAATAGTCTGTACAAAGGCACAGAGACATGCAATGACATGACACATTTGGCACCTCTAAATAAACTGATAGGGTAGAAACATGGGGTAGCAGAGTGTTTTTGTGTTAAGCTAAAGAGTTTAGTTTAATATTTAGCCTGAAAGGTGTGAGAAACCTTCTAAGAAGAGGACTGATATAACTAATTGACATTTAAAAATAATTATTCTGGAAATAATTCCCAAGAAGTCACACTGAAGTCAAGAAAACCAGTTAGGACGCTATTGCTATTATTCAGTTGAGAAGTGGTGTGAGTAAAGAGACAGGTGTGGCTTTGAAAGCGGATAAGAGCAGAGTTTGGAGAAGTTGGAGACAGATGTGAGCAATTGGTAGAAGAAATATTGGTCAACGCTGAGATTGCTGGTTTGGGAGACTGAGTAGAAAGTTGTGCCACTTACTATATAGTGAGTGATTGAGGAGAGAAAGAGTTGAGTGGGAGATGATATAGTTTGGTTTTGGATATATTGAAACTGATGTTCCTATGTATAGTTGTGTGGAACATCTGAAGCTCATTGAAGGGTTTTGAGTTGAGATATTCAGTAACATGTATTTCTCAAGCTAAGTTGTGTTCTACGTTCTTGTGGCAAATAAATTTGGGAAATGTTGGGTTAAATAAAGTGAAACAGATTTCTTCTCTCCGGGACCTCGCATACATTTTAATATGCCAAATTATTATTGAATGCTTAACCTGTGTCAGGAACTTTACATGCATTGGCTCATGAATTCCTCTGCATACAGTATTGCATGTAATATGTCCTGGAATTTTGCCCATTTTATTGATGAAAGGAATGATATAAAGTAATTTAATACCTGATCCATGACAATTTGTTCAAGGTCAGGATTCAAGTCCAGAAAAGTGATTTCTGAACTTACACTCTTAAAGTTGATAGTAATGTCCCAAAGGATAATAGAATGTGCACAGTTTTGCAAACTTCTCTGTAGAACATTCTTTTCAAGAATTTTAAGGAACACTGATAACCTGTAGTTATCAGGTAGAGCAATTCTGCAGTAGCATATCAGAGCCATACATATGGTTGAGACTTCAAGGAAGAAGGTATAGAGTGAGAAGACCAGAGAATTGAGACCACTGCAAAGACAGGAGAGGAGACTGTGAGGACAGAAGAAATAGAGTCATTGAATGAAAACCAAGATAGTATAAAGTCTCAGAGTAGGAGGACACACACACACACACACACACACACACACAGGCTTAGAAATATGGTGGTGATTGGAGACCTTGATGAGAGCCATTTCAGTGGGCTGCCAAAGCAGCTAAATGGAAATGCAAAGACAATGATTGCATGAATCATCCACATGAGCTCTAGATATCAAAGTCATGCAAGATGATTATAATATGGGTATCAAAAGAGTTAGTAAGAGTAGATGCAAAACCAGGAGGTCATCAGGCGATGGTCATAAGGGAAAGAGAGTTCAGTCTTCAAGGACAGAGTCTGTAAGGATGGGGAGGGAGTGAAAAGAATAAGCCACACCGCCAACTCTGCTGTGGGAGAGGACTACCTACCTACATGAAAGGCAGTGTTCCAGATTCCAGCTGGGGTTCAGGGATGGGGAGGACATTAGGATTTGCCATGCACACGTGTCTTTATCTAAGTTTCCATTTGTGTATACTTTCCTGAGTCACTGGGATGACTTTTCATAGGTTTTTAAATAGAATGAACCAGCAGCCTTCCAAAGATGTTCATCAGGTACATGAGTTACAGTTAAAGGATTAAATTTTATTCTCAAAAAAGGAGAGAGAAATTTGTAAGAGGTTAATGGTATACTGTCTTGAGAAATTTTGGAAGTCTACATGCTGCTTATAATGGTTAGAAAACATTTTAAGTCATTTAACGTATGACTGATAGCAAATGTAGAATATAATAAGTTTTAAAGTTTATTTTATTTCTAACAAACTGTTAGTCCCCATGGCAGCAAATGACTTTTGTTTTATGGCTTCTATGTTGGCTATGATACAATCATAGGAGAGCTGACATACAATTGTCATTAAGAGTGATTAGGCAAACATTTTGAGAATAAAAGGAGCATTTTAGTAATACTATCAGGACCACACCCACACAGTGGAACTGTCTAAGGTAAATGAGGACAAATTGTAACCCTATACATAATGAAATTGTTTCAGCAAATAAAATTGGGCCAGTAACAGAGAAGGTTCTTCCTCTATAATTAAGAGGTGAGGGTCCCTTCAGGCTTCTCAGATTCCCTTCTCTTCAAGCAACATGATGGTTTGCGGGAAAAAAATGTCATGGGCTTTGGAGCCAGACAGGATTGGGTATAAAGCCAGGCTCCATTGTTTCCGAGCTTTGTGATCTTGTGCAAGTTACTTATTCTCTTTAATCCTTAGGTTTCCTCTGCATGATTATTTACTTCAAAGTATCCAGCCCTATTCATTAAAAAATCTTAACTCCCTTCTTGTTCCACCACTTAAAGTCTCCAACTTTAAGTCAGAGAGCTTATTGACAGGCATAGTCTAAGATGGAGTCACAGAATGCTGGAACTAGAGGGATCTGGTCCATTTTATAGGTAAGAAGTCTCAGACTATACAGCTGGAATGATCTATCTGAGATTGCTCTAATTGTTATGGCTCACCTGGGGAATGGACAGGTGACCTGCCTTCCAGGCCATTGCTCTTTCCATTCCATATATTTTCCAAAGATAGAGTGATGACCCATTCTGCCTCCTTCTCCTACTCCTCCCTCACTTTCTCTTTATCCTCAGTTCAGAATATAGCACACCTCCTGGAGTGTCACTTGCTAAGCTGATAGAGTTTAGCCCATCTTGAGAAGGTTGGTTCTTGTGTTCGCAACAAATATATGCCCTCTGCAGAGACCCACCAACTGTACACCCATTTGTTCTGTGGTTGTCCACCCTCTCAGATCCAGCATCTCCCTTTAACAACAAAAATCTTGTAATGTTCTTGCTCAAACAGAGATGCAACACATGTAACTTTAAAATAAAAAACTACATGTAAAGTCAAAATGTTCTAACTGTAATAGAAAGAGAAATTAGAAAGTCATTCTTAATTAAATAAGAATCTCCAAAGGCTTTTCTCAAATAGGACTCACTAGGAGGCAGAACAAAGGAGTGAGATGCTTGGAATGGGGAGGGGTGGGTGGATGGAATAGATGTACGGTGAAAATGTGTTACTTTGCAAGCAACTCCAATACCTTTGGCATCTCTGATGTTGATGGTGTAATATTCTGAACTGCTAAACAACTCTTAGCAAAAGAGTTCAACATACTCAATGCTTGCAATCCTGAAAAATTCAAACTATGTTAAAGTGCTACTTCAAATGCTTTAGGTTTAAATGTAAAACAGAGGTAGGTTCTAGATTCAGATCATTATAAATATGTTCATTATGGATAATATCTAATATTTAACATTTGAAAGTTTTTTGGAATGCAAAATAATTCTTCATTTTGTGGAACTCTCCTAAATATTTTAAGATATCTAGTATCCTTGACCCTCACCCACTAAATGGACATCAGCCCCTTCAATCACTGTGATGTCTGAAATGCCTCTATGATCTTCTAAAGGATCCTCCTCTTGGATGAATGGTGGTACCGCTTTACTGCTCTGGAGTTTAGTGGGCATTCTATAATTGGGTGCTAGCACAGAGCTCCTCAAAGGGAACCAGAATAATGGTTGCCAATGATGTCATTTGCCAAAGCCTCCCAGTATGGATGAAGGCCTCACAGGGCGAGCATCAGTGGCCATAACAAAGGAAGCAGTAAATGAGGCTGAAAAGTGTCTGCAAAGTGAGGCAGTATGGTTTTATCCAAATGATGGCAATAAACATGGCAGATTTTAAATGGTAAAGACATTGCCACGTGGGCTTAGCATTATCTCAACAAACCCAAGCTCCAAAGTCAACTTAAGGAGGTCAGTGTAGTTAAATGCAAACTGCAGATGATCAATTATGTTCTGATATCCCCATATTGTCCCCAAAGGACTTTCTTACATTGTTCTCTTCTTTACACTTTTGATCCTTTCTGTAACCTTAAGAGGTGGGGGTGTGAGTGTTTTCATTTTAAGGCATTTTAGTGATGCTTGATAATACCACATTGTTTAATTGATAAAGTCATCATGCACAGGAAACTAGACAAGGGTCATTAGCCAGACTCTTTAGCTATATAGTACATCACAAGTTTCTGGAAACTCTGGCTATGGTATTGGGATTTTGTCACACGCATGCTCAGTTGATAGCTCGTTTCTGTGTAAATGTGAGCAATGCTCATTCTGTTTTTATCTGCCACTAATTTTGCTGTGTGTCAATAAATACCCTATATTTTTCCTTCAGCAATAAGATGAAGAACAGCTTCCTAGTAGCATCCATCAACATTCTACTGAGTAGGTTGTGCTGCTATGATGCATGATGTATCTTTAGGGCATATCATTATATCAGGATCGGTGCAAATGGTGCTAATGGAAATGGGCAGTGTCAGTCTGCTTCATTATACATGGCAGGCATCCTACCTATTGTCCATGGCCAGTCTACTCCATTAGTATTTGTCTTCTGATTCTTGCTACATAAGTTATTATTACTTCTTAAGTTATTTCTTCAAATAAATAATGAAAACAATGGTATAAAACATATAATTTTATTACTATACTAAAATGTAATACATAATTCACCAGAAAAGGTATGTAGGAAACTTTTAGTATCTATCATATAAAGAAAATTACGAAAGTATGTATAACCAGCTATAACATTCAACGAATATTTCTTATTTGTCAGAAACTTTATAGCTATTCGCTAATTTTAATAGGTCTGCACAGTTATGTAAATTGGAAAGCTTTTTACTTTTCCATGATCATTACCATTTCTTCTAAAACAAAGTTCTCAATCTGCCTAATTGAGCTTTGTGGATATATTCAGAAAGCTTCTCAGATATAGATAAAGCAAAATAAATTTATTTATTAATAAATTTATAATTTATTTATTATTGAATAATACTAAGTTAGTGTTCTGGTCTTTATGGAACTCACCAGAAAAGGTATGTATGAAACTTTTAGCATATCTCATATAAGGACAGTTAAGAAGATTTGCATAACCAATTATAATTAAATTCACCTTGTATTCCATAGTGGACTTGTTAGAAAATGAATGTATTTGTTGATTAAAAAATGTTTGATAATAGAGCAAGTGCTGTTTATTGTTCTTTGTTGAGATCATAATGTCTGATTTTTGTAGGTTTTTTAAATTGTCAGCATCACTTACACATCCACAATTTCACTTACCCTCTCCCCAGCCTGGTAAAATAGGTGTTTCTCCTATTTTATAGTTAAACAAACTGAGATCCAAGAATATCAAGTAATCTTTAGCCACTGAAGCTCATAATATGAGTAAAGACAAAGCTGATATTTAAACCCAGGCTGTCCAGGTTTTGATTGGTCCTCTTCCATTGTACTCCAGCTGCCTTACAATTTGAGCACAGAGATGAAGGGAGAGTAATACGAATCTTTAGTACATTACACTCATGTTTAGAAAAATTAGGAAAGGGAAGAAAGCTTTTATATCCCTGCCTACCTCCTTTCCAGGAAAATAAGTGAATATCTATTATTGAGATCAATAACCTAGCAGATGTGAGTGACTTAAAATCTTAGAAATTTGGCTGATTTAAAAAAAATTATAGCATTTTCTGAATGGCATCCTGAATGCCTGAAAAGACCCACAGGTGTATTTTGTGTGGACCATACAGATGTAAGTGTGAATTTTAAAGCTTTTAGATGGTACTCAAAATGGTCAATTCTTTCCAGCCTCCATCGCTCCCTATATACCTGTTCACATTTAGGCACCTGCTTGACCTGTGGAGGTCCTGGCCATTATAATACCTGAATTAGTTACTGTGATTGTTTTTCCCTGAAAATACTGGTTTCACTCTTTACTATTATTCTATTTTCCCCTTACATTTTAGATTTCTCCCAAGAAAAATAAATGAAAGAAGGGGAATGGAGAATGCTAAGAATAAAGACTGAAATTCTCTATAGTGTGGCTAAAAAAAGTCCTCACAAAGAAGGTGACATTTGATTCAAGACATTCAAAGGAAGAAAGCATGAACATATTGAGGGAAGAGTGCTCCAAGCAGAGGGAGCAACAAGTACAAAGGCCCTGCGGTTAGAACATGATTGGCATGCTTGAGGGACAGCAGAGCTGCTTAGGCGGCTGGAGTGGAATGAGAGAGACAGTCATAGGGGAACAGGGTTAGAAAGGTTAGGAATGGGAAGAGGACATTGAGTAGGGTCCTAGACATCCCTAAACAACTTGGTTTTCCCTCTGAGGAAGATGGAAAACCATTAGAGAGTATTGAGAACATGGGTGGCATGGTTCATTCATGTTTTCAAAGAATCACTCTAGATGCTGCGTTGGTAGTGGCCCTTGCCTGCGTGAAGACTGAATAAGGGAGGTGATATAAGAGACTGTTTCAATAATCTAGATGAGAAAGAATAGCAGCTCGGATCAGGGTGATAGCCATGGAGGTGGTAAGAAGTAGTCAGATTCTGGACACAATTTGAAGGTAAAAGCAAAAGTTACTGACAGGTTCAATGTGGGTATGAATAGAGAACAGTCAAGGGTTTTGGTCTGAGCACTTGGGAAAATAGAGATGCAATCTGCAAAATATTTCAGCCTGGAAACGTGAGATTTCTCTTGTCTTCTGGCTATAGGAGAGGGATATAGGAAGCAGAAGATAAAGGGTTGCAAATTAGGGCACTTGAGGAGAATAATTATATATATATATATATATATATATATATATATATATATATATATATATATACATACACACACATACATACATATATAAAATACAAATATATATAATTTATACATAATATATAAGATACAGTAATATATAACAATATATATGATTATATTATACATTGATATATATATATATATTATAGTATTATATATTTGTATTCTATTTTTTTGTATATATTACACATATAATGCTTTTAGATAAGAACAAAGGAGCATGGGCAATCTGTGTAACCAAAGAAGCAAAGAAAAGTAGCAAATGGAGCTAGAAGTGGTAGCAGAGCAGTGAGACCTTCACATAGGATTCATGACTTTCACAGCTTTCCTAAGGGGGTGAGTAACATGAGCCCCCTGTTAGGGATAGGGTGCACCTGCATTTTTAAGTATTAAGCACTCCAAAAGCCATACTCTTTTCATCCTTCCCTACCCTGTATTTTCTCCTTTTAGACATTTTATGGTGGTAGACAACTTACGGCTTTGTTTTAGGCAGATTTTTCACTGCTGTGATTAAAAGATCTGACCAGAACAATTTTAGGAGGAAAAATTTATTTGAGGGCTTGCAGAATCAAACGTCTTACATAGACAGCCAACTCCATTCCTCAGGGCTCATGGCAGAAGACTGTTGCAGAGGAAAGCAGAGAGATACTTCACTCTCCAGATACAAAATATGTACCCCATAGCCATGCCCTCAATGAACCAATTCTTCCAGCAACTCCCCACCTTCCTCCAGTTACCACTCAGTTAATCCCATTAGGGATGAATTCACTGATTAGGTTAAGGCTATAACCCAATCATTTCTCCTCCAAATCTTCTTGCATTATCTTACGTGTGAATTCTGGGGGATACCACATCTATACCACTACAGGCTTACATTTATTTTTTCTTTTTGTGGCACTCTGATTAACTCAGAGGCACTCTATCACTGAGCTACACCCTTAGGTCTTTAAATTTTTTTTTTTAATTTTGTTCTGAGATGAGATTACCCAAGGTTGATAAATTGCTCAAACTGCCATTGAACTTGTGAACCTCTGTCTCAGGCTCCTGAGTTGCTAGGATTACAGGTGTGTGCCACCACACCCTACTTATTTTTTGTTTTTATTGAGATGAAGTTCACACAACACAAAATAACCATTTTGAAGTGAACAATTTGGTGGCATTTAAGACATTCATAGTATTGGCAACTAACACCTCCATCTAGCTTCAAAACATCTTCATCACCTCTAAGGAAAATCCTGTGTCTATCAGTTACTGCTCATTTCTCTCTTTCCCAGTCCCTGGTGACTACCCCTACAAAGCACTTTATGCCTGTGGATTTACCTGTAGTGGATATCTCATAGGAATGGAATCATACATAAGGTGACATTTTTGTGTCTGGCCTCTTTCACTTTTTTAAATATTTATTTTTTAGATATAGGTGGATACAATATCTTTATTTTATATTTATGTGGTTCTAAGGATAGAACCCAGTGCCTCATGCCTGCTAGGCAAGCGCTCTACCTCTGAGCCACAACTCCAGCCCTACTTTGTTGTTTTTTATGGCTGAATAATTATATTTTATTATATGGATATGCCACATGTTGTTTGTGTATTTATCTGCTGATGGACATTTGGATTGTTATCATCTTTTGACTATTGAAACAGCATTGCTGTGAACATTACATACAAGCATTTGAATTCCTGTTTTCAATTCTATGGATGATGTATATACTTAAAAGTGGAATTGTTGAGTTGTATGATAATTCTATATTTGACCTTTTGAGGAACCACCAAACTTTCCACAGTGACTGAATCGTTTTATATTTCTCCTAGCAATGTACAGAGTTCTAAATTCTCAACATCCTCACCAACATTATTGCCATAAAAACAAGCATCAAGTGGTATCTCATTTTGGTTTTGATTTGCATTCTCTGAATGATTCCCTAATGATTTGTGATGTTAACATCTTTTTGTGTGCTTTTTGTCACTGGTAGATGGTTTATACTTTTCATTTCAGGATTGACTTTTGAAACATAAAAGCAGTAATGCACTCTTGTACATTTTGAAGAGAAAAATTGTGAAACATATGCTGGCTTACAGTTACCTAATGCAGCTGGCTGCCAATTTGGTGTCGTATTGTAGATCCATCCTGGGAAAAACTGCTTTGATGCTGTCCTCATTTTCCATTGAGAAGCCAAGACTCAAAATTGGGAGGCTAGCCTTTACACCCAAGAGTAGGTAGTTGAATTTTCCATCTGTAAAAGAAGGCATTGAAAATACATATCCCCAGTAAACTTTCAGAGAAATCCATGCCCTTTGACCAAGTAATCTGCCTTCTAAACATCTGTCTATTGAAAATTAACTGAAACAAAAGGGAGAAGAAGCTTTATATGTGAAGATGTCTCTTAGAACATTGTTTTTACAACTGTAAATTGATCTAAGAGTTCACCAATGGATGGCTAACTTATTATATTAACTAAACAGGAAATTTGGCCTTCTTTATAAGTTATACCAATGAGAACATACAAAATGTTTAAGTTAAAATGTTAAATGAAGAAACAAGATATTCGTTTGTGGACATAGTATGATTGCAATTACAGTATTCCTTACCTAAAATTCTTGGGAGCAGAAATATTTCAGAATTTTCCAGAATTTGGAATATTTTCATAGACTTTACTGATTCAGTATCTCTAACTTGAAAAATTTGAAATCCAAAATTTTTTTGAGCATTGACACACTCAATCAGATTTTAGATGTTTAGATTACAGGTGCTCAGCTAGACCCACAAAATTGTACCTAGAAGGAAGACTAGAAAACAATACATTAGAATGATAAAGAAATTATAGTTTTGCTATGGTATGGTATGGTATGGTATGCTATGCTATGCTATGCTATAGTATGCTGTGGTACACCATAGTTTTATATAGCTTATTGGTTGACAGTTTTGACTTCCAAAAGACATCATTCATAACATAATAATGAATTATTGTTATTTTTATTTTTATAAACATGACCACAGTTGGAGGTTTGCAGACCAGAATCATACACCTAAATGTTGTACATGTTTCCAACCATTTGAAAAGTGTTGGTTATTTTGGTTTAGTGTGTTGATCTTAGAATTTACTCTGTAGAGAATGTCACTAACAGGACTTTGTTTAAAGTCAGGATGCCATAGGATAATTTCATGGATCCCTTAAATTCCATCCATTGTTTTGTATGTACCCACAGGTTTTTGTGGGAAAAGAAAATCTGAACTTTAAAATAAAAAATGTCTCTTTGCAGGTGTTCCATTGCCTAAAGAGGACATTTCTGCTCCCCTGATCTCCAGCTCGCCAGTAAAGGAAGCTCGAGAGTATGAAGATCCCCCAAGTGAAGAAGAAGATAAAATAAAAGAAGAGCCCTTGACCATCTCTGAACTAGCATACAACCCAAGTGCCAGCCTGCTCCCCACCCCTGTTGATGATGAGATTGACATGCTTTTTGACTGTCCATCTAGGCTTGAGTTGGAAAGAGAAGATACAGATTCATTTGAGGAACTGGAAGCAGATGAAAATGCCTTTTTGGTTGCTGAAGAAGAGGAGCTGAAGGAGGCTCGTCGAGCTTTGTCATGGAGTTATGACATTCTGACCGGCCATATTCGGGTGAACCCACTGGTCAAGAGTTTTTCCAGGCTTCTTGTGGTGGGCCTGGGACTGCTGCTCTTTGTATTTCCCCTGCTCCTCCTCCTTTTGGAGTCAGGTATTGATCTCTCCTTCTTATGTGAAATCCGCCAGACACCAGAGTTTGAGCAGTTTCACTATGAGTACTACTGTCCCCTCAAACAGTGGGTGGCTGGGAAGGTCAACCTCATTCTCTACATGCTGGGTTGCTCATGAGGTTAATATCTTATAAAACTAAGGGCTATATTCAATACTAGTGATTTTTTTTCAGTAGATGACTGGTTCTGAATGGACATGGGGTTGCCAACAGATGTTCCTTTCTCATAATTGATCATTCAAACCCTCCATTAGCTTTTCATAATTAAATGCACTTAAATCAAAGATAGATATTTTACTTACGGGTCAGGAAGATGACCTTTACATAACCAAAATATGTTTATTTTAAGTGTAGACAACTATTATAATGCATAATACATTGGACTGAATAGATTTCCCTGTTTTTAATAGTTGGTACCATCACAAGCTATAAGGTTCAGAATCAGAATTTTAGTAAAAACCTAAGGGAAAGTTTTTGAATATAATCCTTAGTGAAAAATGATGTCCTCTAACCAATGCCTATACAACTAAATTTATGCTGGGCTTTCTGTTTTGTTTTTTTAAAACTATTTTTATGTGTTCAAACTATTTTGGTAAATTTTTTGCAAAAAAAAAAAAAAAAAGCCTCCTGGAGTTATTTAAGTATATGGACTGTAAGACTAACAATGCACAAAGGTATATCGGGAATTTTTTAATGTTTTGGCACCAGTTTGTTTTTTAAAATATTTTTGGCTGAACAAGTCTATAATTTGTTATTACTTGCATATGGGATAGAAAATGGGTAGAAAGATACTTTAGTAAGTAAGCTCCCCAAACAGATGATGGGAATGGAGGATGTAGAAACTGAGAGCATTGAGTTGACACAGGGGAGTCCCTTTTTCCAAGTTTTGGACAAGATGACTTGGTACTTTTGTCTGCACTCTGTCCATATATTTGGGCTAGGGAAGCAGAATGTTTTTAAAAGATAGTAAAATTTTAAAGGAAAAATGGTAAAAGATATACCAGTTGATTGTTTATTGTATATTAAAACAAGAGTGAGTGGATTCAGATAGAAATTGAACTAAAGGAAAGTAGTGAAGAAGAGTTCTGGTGAGGCTGTAGGCAGGTGGTGGAAGGCAAAGGGTGTCTTTAATGAAAAGGATGGTGACAAGAGGCATTCAATGATGTAAAGTGCACTCGCTGTCCAGTTGACATAAACATGTTTAAGTGGATCTAAATAAAAGTGGAGAAACTTTAAGGTAAATTTTTTGGTCCCTCATGCCATTCATTGTGATTCTGTGGAAGAAACTTCAAAAATGTGTGTGTGTGTGTGTGAGTGAGGGGGGGGGGGATGAGTGGCTTTTTGATAAATACCAAGATTTATTCTTTATGGTGGGTAATATTCTCCTTTCCTTGCATGGTTTCCTTAAAATCTTAACTTATTCATCATTGGACTTCCATTGGGAAAATGAGAGTGCTCATCAGATGACAAATCAGTTCAGCCTGGGTAGAGAATAAGATAACAGACAAATCCTGTAGTACCTTCCTCTGCACCATTAAATCCATGAGAGAAAGGGTCTGATGCTTTCCCATGCAGAGTACTTACCAACATTTGGTATGAGTGAGAAAGGGTCTGAGGTTTACAGCACAGAGTGCAGGATTTCTTATATAGAGATGGGGCCCACCTATAATATCTCCCTAATGACCCTCCAATGCCACCATTAGCATAATTTCCAAATTGGGCATTCCAGTCAATGGGCAACTCAGTCAATGGAGCTGTTAGTTCTTTATTAGATATTTAATTTTGAAAGTAAATGTTGAAAGTCAGTTCATGAGGCCTCTGTTGAACACATTATAATATATATACTTGCTATTATATTTGCAGGGTTTTCTTCTGGTGGACTTTCAGTGATTTATACTAATATAGAAGTATATTTTCTATGGTTGGAACCTGCAATAATTTATTTTGGACATTTGCATGTAGTCAGCTTGGAAATTGAAGTTTTAATATGTTCTATTCTTTTTTGACATAAGGGTACTCCAGTGTAGTCTATACAAATCTAGTCCCCTTTCTATCATTTTCTTTGAAATTCTAACCAAGACAAATTATCTAGCCCTCAATTTTAAAAAATAATATTAAATAATATATTTAAATTATGGAAGTGCTATATTTTTCATCATAAAATATTTGAAAAATACGCAGGATAATTATCACATGTCATCCAACCATGAGATACATATGCCATTTCCAGCTAGCATCTCTTTTCTCTTAGGCAGATACTTCTTTGTTTATTGAAGATGTTTTCAGGTTACAGAGTTGACAGAATAGGATCTACTTGATTTAAATGATAGCCATCCAAAGCAAAATTGGATTCTGGTTTAGAATCAGAGCCTTTTAAAAATACCCACTTAAGTTGTGTTAGTCACCACTTGCCTGCATCAAATGTGGAGACTGCTTCAAAAGGGAGATGGTATAAGTAGTAGTAAGACACAGAGTTCAAAGCACGTGTGTGGGTATATGTATATTCCATATTATCGGTATATGTGTTTATATATAAATCTGTATATATGTATTTGTATAGACACAACCAATATGCCTTTCACACATAGTTATGCTTATTTTGACCCAGTTGAAGAATTTGTGACATGTTGTTGTTCCTTTCCCTCTCAGATATCATGGTGGGTAAAAACCACAGCTTCAAAGATTTGAATTTTTCATAAAGACTGCTGTGTGTACCTTTGTGGATTTGTACACACATGCATGCATATGGCAAATACATATACACACACAACCTTGTCTTTAGTGCTAATGCAAGTGGGATTATGAAAATAATGTAGGTAAAGTATCATGTATTTCTATCTGTGCTTGGACCATATTGTAAAATGTTATGTATTTGGAGTATTACTTGTGGTTTGTCTAATATTTTTAAATATAACTCTGGGGAAAATTCAAAACACAATTGATTTTATTGAAATACTAGAGAGATGGGGGTCATGATACTGTGATGGAGCCTTACCTTTGTATAGTGAAATCTGCATTTCTCTGTCAACATCCAGATTGTTTTATATGTTAATATGGTGGCAGGAATCCCTAATAAAAATACTCTGGGGTAAAATAATTTTTTTGCAATCATTCAATTTTATTTAAAGTACAGTTGTGTAGTCATCTTAATGGAAACTATAGAAGGTTTCCCTTTAGGAACATAAATTGAGTCACCTTTCAATGGTGATAATATGAAAAGAATCACAGGTAATAGATGAGATTAACCCTCTGCAGAAGTCACCCAGGCCCAAAACAGGAATATTAGCCCTGGATATATGCTCAAATATTAAAGAAAAATATGGTGTAATGTAGTTCAGTGGTAAAGTCTCCCTGGATTCAATCCCCAGTGCCTCCAAAATATATTAGTAATAGTATTAATTAGAGAGCTCAGCATGGTGGTGCATACCTGTGATCCTACCTACTCTGGAGGCTGAAACAAAATGATGGCAAGTTCAAGACCAGCCTTAGCAACCTAGTAAGACCCTATCTCAAAATAAGAAATAAAAAGAGTTGAAGATGTAGTTTAGAAGGAGAGCACTTGCCTAGCATGCCCCAGGCCCTGGGTTCAAACCAAGTACTGAAAATTTAAAAAAGCTCAAAACACTAGAGAAATAGAAAAGAATAAACAAAATTAGGAGGAAAAATTAAGAAATTAAGTCCTCCTTACTTGCCAGGAAAGGCAGCCAGCGAGAGTTGCTTTAGACTCTCAACTCTGTGACACTTGCCTTTAGATCTCTTTTTTTGTCAAAGCCATAGAGGAATCAGCTATTCCATGTCCATCCTCCCCTCCATACAAACTAACCTTGCCAGGTCTTCTACTGAGGATTGGCCCAATGATTACAACTCCATACTTGAACATTAAATCAGGAGGTGTTACTTTGAATGAAAAGAGGAGCTTACAGGAAGAAAACCCTCGGATGTCAAGGAGAATTGGCCCCTAGCTATGGTGGCCTTTTAAGCCTGTCAAGTTCTTACTCAGCAACCTTCAGAAGGATGGGAGTAGAGGGGAGAAAAGGAATTTGGTGGTTAGTGCCCAGGGGTGAGGTGACCTATGCACCTGCGGTCCTGGCTCCAGCCAGTGCTTTTGTTTGGGTTATTCTCTGATGACCCAAAAGACTAACAAAAAAATGACCTTTGGCCACTTATTCAACCTCACCTCTGAGTGAAATCTCCTAAATCCCCTCATTTTCTGCTGAGTCAAACAGAGGAAGGATCACCCACCAACAAGCCCAACATGGAGAAAAGTACTGGGGAGAGGCTTCCATCTTTGGGGTGATTTCTGGGATGATTGTGACTGATGGGATTTGGGTCTCTTTTGGCCTTCTTTCTCTACTGGGTGGAGATAATGTGCTAAAGGTCCCTGCTTACTTGTCCTCCTGCTTCTTCTCTCTCTTTCTCTCTATCTTGGACCTGATTTTGGGCTTCCAGTCTCCGTGCCATAAACAGACCCAGCAGGACCTGTTCGTGGTGGGCCCAGCCAGGATCGGCTCTCCATGTTCCAGCCTCGGTCTGTGACTGGGTGGGTAAGTTTGGTGGGCCTACCCAGTGGGCTCAGCTGTCATCACTCTGGAGAGGAAGAAAGGAACCTCAGATCCCAGCTGTGATCTCCAATCCATTTCCAATCCATTAATAAAGCTGACTTTAACCTTCTTCTGGCCATTGTATCTTTTATCTAGTGGAACTAGATAGCGGTGGGTAGGATGGTGGTTAATATTTAGAATCTCCAACCTACAATATTACAGACAAGGAAGGAGTGGAGAAGTTTGCTCCTTGCTGAGGGAATGTCTGCTACAAACATCAGGGAATGTCTGTTACAAACATGGGCCTTGCCAATAGAATAAGAACCTGGAAATGAATATTAGTAAAGAACAGGGCACAGTGGCATATGCCTATAATCTTGGTAACCCAGGAGGCTGAGGCAGGAGAATTCCCAGTTTGAGGAAGTCTCAGCAATTTAGCAAGACCCTATCGCCCCCCCCCCCAAAAAAAAAAATTAAAAAAATAAAAGGACTGTGGATGTAGTTCAATGGTAAATTGTTCCTGGATTGAATCCCAGAGCCTCCAAAAAAGGAAAATTAGTAAAGAATAGACGTTGGTTGGAGTGGTACATCCCTATTCTTTACCTTTAGTTGATGCTTACCCTCCCTACATATCTCTTTAAAGAAATATCCAAAGCCATTTTCCTGGTTGCAAAGGAAAATTAATAACAACATCCTCTCTGTAGAAATAAGGATTGAAACAGGGCTTTCAAATTCCAGCAACTTCTTCAGCTAAAACCCTTATCTTGATTCTTTGTGCCTATAGAATCATGATTGTGATCACTGGTTTTCCAGAGACTGTTCTTCAAGAGAAAGAATATATTAACCAGCCAGTATTAGTTTCTTCTTTGTGTGGCAACCATATTCCTCAGAAGTTAAAAACCCAGTGTTCTGACTTAAGCATCAGACTCCTGTAATTTCTTGGTGTAAATCAGTTCCCTCTCCTCCTCAATCAACCTGCGTTCCCTCTCCTCCTCAATCAACCTGCGTTTGCTGACACTCTTGAGCTTTTGATTCTGCAAAGTTGCAAACCAGACCACTGTGAACAGTGGTGGCCATGCAGCTGTGCTACTCCCTGGCCATAGGTTACAAGAGAGTTCATCCAAACCGAGGCTCAAGAGAGTGAAGTGGGTGTTTTTTCATGATTATGTCACAGCAACAAGCATTAGATAGGAATGTTCTAGATACTCTGCCTCTGAGGCTGAATGATCAGTTAGATGCTTCCTTTCAACAATTCCTCTAGTGTGTTTCTCTATAATATTCACACAGGGAAGAATTATTACTCTAGAGTCATAGCTCTCCTACTTGTCAGCAAGAATCAGATTAAAATTCACCAGAATGAACTACATCATGTTTTGGCCTGAGATTATAAATTACTGAGGAGACAATTTTAAACAAACATCCCAGCATTGAATATTTAATGCTACATACTCAATTTGTTTACCATAAATAAGACTTAATTTCTTGCTTAATGTGAGGTAGGGGGAGAGAGAATTAAAATAATCTAAATGATGCTTTTATCTCCATACTCTTAAAGTTGACATTTCTGATGTACACATATAGAACATTAATGATTAGCTTAATTGTAACAGATTCACACCAAATACATTTGAGATTCTGTTTCACTGAAAGCTAACTTGATAATAATGAGAAATGTTGGTTTTGTGGGCATTGATTTGATGCTTTTCCCAGAACATAAGCTGTAATGTGAACCAAACACTGTTAGTGAGTACAAAGACTCACAGTTAGAAAACTAGGTCTAGGGAAGTCTGCCCCAACAGACCAAAACTCGTCATAGGCATAACTTTTCATACCTCTCTTGGAATGGCTGGAGACAGCGGGTACACATTTTATTCCAAATTTCCCAGTTTTGAAAATTTCTTGAGGCTGTCAGCTGATTACCAGTGTCATTTCCTCTCAATTTTGGCATAGACTTAGACTACATTTTCCAGCCCCCAAATAGTTAGATGTGGCCATATCCCTGAGTTCTGGCCAATGGAATTTAATGGAGAAATGATCTGTATTACTTCCAAACCTTGGGTGAAGTATGAGCCTTCATCTGTCATTGGATGTCAACACCTACAGTGACCTTTAAGCCACCAATTGAGGAAGTTAGGGCTGCCAGCGACTTGGATCCTTGAATGACTTCATGCAGAAGAACACCATAAATTCCAATCTAAAATGGACCCTTTTTGGACTGTTACTCAAGCAACAATGACTTACCTGGGCAATTTTCACTTCTGTTGCTGTCTGCCGCAGTCTGGCTGGGCACAAAATCACGAGCCACTCAAGCAGGAACAAACTGCCGCCAATGCTCCGTTCACGCCTGGGAAGATTTTCGATCGACCCAGGCCACCGTTCTCCCGGATCCCAAGAGGAAGTTCCTCCTCCGGAATTCCCTCCTACCGCACTTCCCCAACCAATGGGAACTCTCCCGTAGCAGGCCCAGGTGGACAGCAGGAGTCCAATATCCATATAAATGCAGATCTTAACATAATCATATCATCTCAATGGCTTGCTGGCATCACCTTTCAACCAAAAATGCCATGCATCATATTACTTGGCTGTGGCTCTTAGCAGCTGTCAACTTTCCTTATTCCAGTATTCTCCTAAGAATACCTCTCCTAAGAAAGGGGAGTACAGAAAGCAGGTATAGGAGCTGTTCTGTGCTGGAGTGCTCCAGAAGATTCTAAAGGACAATTCTACACAGAGAGCAGGGGATGGCCTACTGTGCTTGACTGTGCAAAACCTGGATCAGTGTTTATTTTTGGTGCTAAACCATCCTGTTATTCTTTCTTTGAGAGGCCTAATTGGAATCCAATGCAGGATAACCCAGGGTTGTCCACCCTTGAAGGGCAAATCACCCTTAGTTGAGAAACACTGGGGTTCAAGACTGATTTCAAGAGCATGTTACCTTTGCACCCTGCTCACAAATGCTTGGTTTATTGTCCTGATATTACCATTATGATATTTTTAATAATTTCAGCTTTGAACTTGTGATTTCTAAGTAAAGTTGATGAGATGAACTATATGCAGGATATGAGCTGGGCAGTTGTGAGCATCAGGCATGCTGAGCAGTTGGTCCAAATGCCAGACACACACACACACATGTATGGGAAGTCTGAGGCAACAAGGGATTTGGAGGGCTGCCTGCACCAGCACATAAGCCCAAGTTAATGACAATGATGTAAGCTGCAGCAGAAGCTAGCCCTGGGAGAGAACGAATAATTCCACATAGGGACATGACAGAAGAAAGACCCATGGTAGGAGGCCAGTTTGCCCATCAGTCTATGGAGCTCAACCATGAAATATGTGCACAAATATTAACTCTCTAGCCTGAGCACTGGACAAGGTACTGCCACCGGTCAGGCAGTAAATTTTGTCAGTAAATTACAATGTTATAAAGATGCACACATGGACAATGCTATAAGTGCTGTCAGGGAGTTACTAAAATTCTCTGAAGAGTATAGAATCTCTGGAATTGAAAACCATTACCACATCATAAAGCAAATATCCAGTCTTGGAAATATAAATAAAA